AGTGAAAAGATAGGGCACATGTCTGGCCTTGAAATTGGAAGAGAAAGAGAATGGCATGGAAAATTGCAAGACAACCCCAACACAGACCCAGTCAAGCAGAGCTGGACTGCCTTGCTTATGTTGCTTATTGTTTGTTATCATGTGGAGCATTTATAGGACTGCAGACAGTGCCATTGGACTTCACTCCTGCCCCTGATATGTATATCATCGCAAAAGATCGCGATCTGCTGGTGTTGGTGTCTTTGATATCACTGCGATGAGATGCTTCTGCTTGTATTGTTGTCATAGGTTCTGTTTAAGCGAGCACAGCTGAAGGCGTATGTCAGCTTGCTGGACCAAGACAGAGGGATTAGCAAAGATGAGGTGGCTGTCATCATTGGGGCTCTCGATATGCAGAAGAAGAGCGCCATCGAAGGGATGACGCCATGGGACAAGGTGTTCATGCTGTCTGAAGACACCGCCCTAGATGAAAACGTTTTGTGGGATATCCTTGGCAAGGGCCACAGCAGGATTCCTGTCCATCGAAGCGGCGATAGGTGCGCATGCTGCAGCAAAGAATCGGCAACTCTGAAACAGTGTCATTGGTCATGAGGGATGAGCTTGGTTATGAAACTTGCAAGTGATTAAATGTTTGCACTGATGTGATAGCACAGCACTTGCATTCAAAGCAGACTGTTCAGTAAGTGAGTTGCCAGGATCTGTCACAGTGAAGATCGCAAAACACAACATGCAATGCATGGGTACTGGTACCCAGTTGCCGATCACCATAGGACATACTCAGGTGATTTGTTGCTAGCATATCTTCAGCTGTAGCAGGCAAACTGCTGAATTTTGTGGACTATCAAGCCATCTAGCTAGTATCACCTGTGACCAGTACCCCCCCCTATGGGAAGTCATCTTGAATTTCTAACACCCTGTGCTGGGGATGTGCATCAGGAGGTCGCTGACTGATGGCAGAGTTCATGGGGTTTGGAAGGGAAATTTCACTCCAATTACAGCTGTAACTGATGGGTTGGCATGCCTGGAGCCTTCGATTCTTCATACCTTTCTTTCATACCTTATGCTGTTATGCTGCTTTGGTTGCTCTATGCTGCAAGAGAGTTGGACTCATGTGTCCAAACTACAGGACTGGATTCCACAAGATCATGCATATATCTAAGGAATATGCTCCCAGCGTCACAAGCCATGCTCACTGCGCAAGCCACATCCTGAAGTGGAGAGTGAGATGGTGCATGTGGCTCTCCTTATGGACAAAATGTGTGCCATGTTTGTGCAGAAAGGACATCCTGGGGTTGGTCATAGTGAAGGAACTTGTCCTTATTAATCCAACAAGGCGGAAAAAGGTAAGCACCAATCCTATGACCCTCTGGGTTGTTGGTAACTGCTGCACTAAGCATGCAGGCAGCAAAGCAGACTCCACACTAAAAGTTCTTGACGTGATGCTAGAGATCAACCAGGTCACTGACGATAAGATAGGTGATGTTATCAGTGCATCTGCACCAAGAAGACCGCAAAGATCGCAAACTGTGGATGGCAGCAGAGAAACAACTATGGGCTTGAATAAATACCTGTGGCCACCGCAAAAGTGCAAGATGACAGTTTTCACCATTTGGGCACATGTGTTCCAAGTGCAATCGCACCAAAAAGATTGAAATATGACTAACAACCAGTGTGTACTGGTGCTACTGCATATTAGGGCAACTGGCCATCCATGACTGAATGTCCAACAATGAAATTATCTGCAACTACCTGAATTAACTGGGCGTTGCAAGCAATTGTCTAGCACATGTGTTAAACCTGCATGATAGGAAGTTCCCAGGTCATGTCCCACAGTCAGCAAAGCTGTCTTCTTCCTGACATGGCTGCTGGAATTGTGTGCTCCTTGTGAAGCAGCACAAGCGGGAGCTTGTGGCCCACAACCTTGCTAGTGGTGTGGTCCACCTTGCATATGAAGCATTAAGCAAGAACCCTGAGACAATTCTAGATTTGATGAATGCGATACCTCACATGCTATCAAATGTGGAATCTGGTGTGATCTGTGCATATGCTGAAATTGCATCTCTGGAACGTGTTAATCCTAGATGCGATGGAAGGTTGACGGAATGCAAGTTTTGGATTTTTGAAGGTTTCAGACTGCCACATGCGCAGCATACCCCGCTTGCCAGCCAACGCCCCGATGTATGACCTCTTAACGCTATTCCGTGCGGGACGCAGCCACATGGCAGTGCTCTGTGAGCCGCCGAAGTCCACAGGCAGTGATTCCCCAGACAAGTCGCTGGCCTTGGGGGACCCTTTGGGCATTATCACGTTGGAGGACGTCATTGAAGAGGTTGGTTTTCATGTCTAAGTAGCATAATAGCGCAGGGCAGTGTTGTATCACCATCCAACTCTGCACAGATTGAAGAGCCGAGTATGTGATGAGGTGGCTCTTGTTTCCAACTGCACGTCCCCTGCTTGGAGTGAACGTGGGCTTCCAGAAGCCAATGCAAAGATATGCATACAGAACACTTTGTTCCTGCACAAGGAGGAGACCAAGCAAGTATGTGACAGAATGGCAGTTGATTGCAGTTTTGACGTTGACAATTCACACCATTACCATGGGGTGTTGTGGACGAGTATGTGTATCTGTAATGAATTGTCCCTACTGCACAAACTGTCTGTGAGAAGAATCCAAACCAGTGACTGCTTGGCATGTTCCATTGCCAGTGCCTGGTGTTGTGGAAAGCTGACCTGGGCCTACGCCCTGCTCCACCATGGTGACAGGACAGTGTCGTTGAAATGATACTGGCAGGCGTTCTGGCATGTTGCCTTCATCTTTGAACAATTGTCGGCCGTCTTAGATCTCGAGGTGGTTGGGCCTCATAGCAAGTTGAGGGTGTGGACCAGCGTCTGCAACATGCTGTACTGTCCAACACACTGATGAACGAAGTAATGCCGCAAATGACAGGATTTTGGCCTTATCTCATGCGGAATGTGGGGTTTGTCAGTTTAGCTGGTTTGAACTGCTGACCGAGTCAATGGAGCAATGGAAAACTCGCCCAAAGTACAGTGTTTGTGGATCCTGTGTCTTCTTGTGCAAGGGATTGGGACTCGCACTCAGTCTTCATGGGCTGTGCCAAGTCCACCAGCCAAAGGGTGTGCGAGTCGCTCATGCACACGCTGGAGAGCAAACTGCACATATGGAAGAGATACCCATCATTCCCTTGTTGGTGCATGGGTAGTATGCTTAGTGTGTGGGATGGACGTATACCAAAGAGATATCAACTGTGTCCCAATGCGATCTGCAAAGCAAGCGTGAGCTTTAACACAATGACAAGAATGGCGCAAAAGGGCAAGCAAAAAGTAAATGGAGCGAATGAGCATAGTCCTCACCGCATGTTGAGAGAATTGAACTTTCTGGGTGTGAAGTTATCGTGTTCATCATTCGTTTTGCGACAAGTCCTACTTGGTCAGCAATGAAAGACTCAAAAAGGCATGGTTCGGATGCCGGATTCAGCCCGGCTCCAATGCAACTTGCATTGTTCAGTGAACAGTTTTCAACGATTGACACATCAGGGTACAGACCCGTGCTATGTGAAATGGACAGGTTGCTGTCAATGCTTTAGATTTTCCCGTCCCCAGCCGCAGTGTAGACTTGTGACAAGCGATCCGCAACTCGCCTCTTGGTACCACTCGATGGGAATTCAGCTGCTGTCCCCGGAATAGAAGTAGGTATCGAAATGGAGGCTTCCTGACAGTGCATGTGCTGCCCATTCAGTTGCTTCAGGGAGAAATTGTGGACGAGACGGATAAGTTCGTTGACAATACGCAAACGCAGAAGGTGCAGACGGCCCTGCTGCTTGCCCGCCTCCCTCAGAACGTTAAAGAGCTGCTGCGCTTCACTCGAGCAAGGAGCTTTGCCGACCATTCGTCCAAGGTGCTGTTTCTGACACACAGGGGGCATCGCCTGCCTCCTGTCTGTTCCTCTCTCTTCCACTCCTCTCCTGCCCCTCGTCGTTTGTTCTGGCGAATGGGCCACACTTCGTCTGTTGTCAGGTTGTGCTGTAACAAGGCAATGCGGATTTGTCACGGCATATGGCCATGGGCAAGTTGTGCAGAAACGATGGTCTGACATGTAGGCAATCTTGTTCTGCAGGGGGGCATATGACAAAGCAAAAATTGTATATGATCACTGCAAATGACAGCAACCACGAGTTGTATGACATTATGAGAACCCGAGAACGCCGTTATTGTGCCACGGTGATTTGGTCAGGGGCATATCCAAGAATATGGCATGGGCTGTGGCCAATGTCGGGAAATGTTGCATTCGGATATTAAACCCATTCAGCGCGCTTTGCAGCTAGTGCTGCACATTGGCACGGCTCCCATCTGGTGCTAACTCAAGTGTTCTGCAGTTTCGATGGCTGACCAGGTCGACCACGGCCACGAGTTTACCATTTGGCAGCGACGCGGCGAGGACGCCGCTGCTCCAGTCTTTGGAAGGTATCGGGAATCCTGGCTTGTCTCCCAGCGACAATGGCGACCCGCTGGGAGATGCATCTTATTCTTAACACCAGCGGGAATGCGGGGCATCATGGGAAAGCTTATGCTGCGAGGTGGTGAAGATTGTCCTTCCAGCGGATGGCAAACATATCCGAAGGTGGCACAACACTGTCCTCAGCAGCAGCAGACCCAAACAGAGCCTGGTGCGTTCCAGTCGCAGGACGCCAGTCCAAACAAGCGGCGTTTCAACGCTTCAGCGGTGCTTCAACGCCGACGGCAACTTTTTGTGTCGAGAATCGGGATGTGTTTACCATGCGCGATGTGCATACGTTTGCTGGTCACCTTTTGTAGTTTTAATCAAAGGGAGTCCTTGGCCCCGGCGTTGTGTTGGCGGTCCGTGCAGCGTGAATGGGAAGTCAAAGCACAGCAGCCTTGTTTACACTTCTTTGGATTGCAGTTTCTGCAAGCCCGTGCGGGAAGCCAACGCCAGTGCATTGTGCTTTTGCTGATGCCTGATGTAGTGGCCTCAGAGGGCCTTGAACCGGCTGCAGCATGAGCGGCGCACTGCCGCTCCACATCCGTGTTCCCATCGCTCGCCTTGAATGACTGTGGCGCAGGAATACGGGCAGTGCGCCTTAGGCAGTGTTGGGTGCTGGTAGTTGAAATTTCAACCTCGTCAGTTCAGACAGGATGACAGCTGATGCATGAAAGCCAATGGTGGTAGGTTGGCGAGGCTCCCAGGCTTGTGCCAATGGCCGTCGTCGGACTGATCGGCCGCATTTGTGAATTGGCTTGCATGCCGCCAGTGAAGCACGGTTTCAAATCCCGGCTTCGACTGCACGGCGTGGTCCGTCCTTCACGCTTTCGGTACACAATTTTCAGTTGTGCAAGAAAATTTGGGCGCCGAATGAACATGTGTTGACTTGGGACTGTGTACTAGTGTGCACAGCTGGCCGGATGAGCGATCATGCCGGCCAGGTGCTGTTCAGCGGTCTCTTTTCTTTCATGTACGCTCTGTTGGCCTCTGCTTGACTGCTCGTGCACTGAAGATCTCTCATCTGATGCGATGGGGTCCGTCTGGCGATTTGTTGACGTCCCGTCACTGTGCCGGAATAGGAGTATTGTGGATATGGCGTATGTGGATACTTAAGACGCACTCACAGACGATACGTGTGCTGGTGGCCCAGGCCACGCACTCCGTGCTGGCTGTCTGCATGACAAGAAGGCAAAAGGTCCCGAGAAAGCAGATGGTGGCAATTCGCAAGAACGCACCAGCCATGCAAAGGAGTTGTTGTGCTCCGCAGAATCTCTCAGGACACCCTTGCTAAATTGAAGTAGTGCGAAAGAATCAATTCTTGTTGATGAGGTTGGCCAAACAATCCCACTGACATTCAAGTCCGTGCTTAGTCCTGCCGAATTGCAGAAATGTTGTACTTCATTACTCAAGCAAACAGCTTAAGAATGTGGCCGAATCACGTTGTCTCAACCGAAGGTTTGGTGCTACTCTACGCCAGTACGATGTGAAGTGATGCAACGAGCACGTTTGTGGTGGCGGCTCTTAACTCGGCGCACTGGCCTTCCCCTCATCTCAGTCACGCTATTACAAACAGCCGCGGACAAAATGGAGAGCGCCGTCTTCAAAATTTTACAGGTGGACACTCCACAGGCCTTGCATGTTCGAAGAAGGGGTCGAAGCGTCCCTTTCTCGTTCCAGGCACAAGGAATGACAGCGAATTGAAAGCTAGGGAGAGCTGCCCCTTTGCATGGCTCGCTTCTCCGCGTCCACGTGATGTTGCAGCCTCGCTCAACTGGGGATGCACAGCATGGGCTTGTGCCTCAAGCCTTCCTCAGCACCTCCATTCTCTCCATGCACGTTGACGTGTGATGCGGCCCAGGCTCAACTCGATGCCCTGAGCCTTCCGTCTGACCTGCGCGGGGGATGGAAGCCGTAGGCAGGATCCCGCAGCCCCCTCCCCCACGCGCACACACAAAGATGGTCTATAACCCCCTCACGACATATCAACTACAACGGCTACGAATGAGCGAAAAGAGGCTACCAACTGATGCGCACAGGCCGGCTGCACCGCTGCATACGCAGGCGTCGCCCCACGTGCTGCTTTGGCAAAAGCACGTCTGTGAGCCTGGCCCCCTGATATGGCATGGGGCATGTGGCTTCTCCGGGCCCGTGGTCGGTTCCTGGATACTTCCCTTGCGTCCACCATCTCCCGTTCCACACCACACGTGGGTGGACCGGGCCCTCGGCCTGTGGCCGAAATATCCGTATCCAAACTGCATCTCCCCTCAAGGGGCCCCAGCTGCCTTCCGCGCACGAATCCACCCCTACGGCCGCTCCCCCGGCCAAACGCCCCAACATGCAGCAAATATATTTTTTCTGCTCTTCTAGGCGGTGTGTCCCCATCCTAAATCCTGCGGGCCCTACCTACCGCCTCATTCCTTGCCCGACCAAGGGGAGGTCCCCTCCCTGCCCCTCTTCTTGCACACACCTCCTCAAGCTGGCTGACCCCGGCCTCGTTTTTTCCTTTTTCCTTAAACCCCCTTGGCTCGCTGCCTCTCGGCCTCCCAGCCCGTCCATCCCGGCACGGGGTGCTTCAATACCTCTCTCATTTTCAGGGGCCAACCAGCTTTAAATCGCAAGCGATACGTCCCTAGACACATCGCCCACCTTGCAGTCGGTTGCCTCGATGGGCGGCCGGCCTCCGCCTCTCGAAGAAGATTGCCGTTCGTTGGGGATGCGCTCTTGAGGTGCGCCAGCTGCTTGTTGAGGCCGGCCGCCCGTCGAGGCTGTCGTCCGCCCCCCGCTGGAGGCCTCAACTGCCGCGTCCAACGCAAATGTTTTGTAGAAGCTGCGGAGACATCCTTTGACTGTTGTTTGATTGGCTGAACCTTCTGTACAAGGCATTTCGCGTTTCCTGGAACATTGGCGATTAATTTTCCGTTGAGCTTTCAACTTCTAGATGCATGGACGCCACTATGCCACAAGGTAGATGATCATAGGTTTTGGAATCAAAATATTTCAAAACAGCTACTGTGGTTTGTTTGGGTTAGTCCTGCTTAGTTATAAATTCTCGCACGCAAGACCAGGTCTGTCAAATTACCGTATTTGTTTTATATACAATGAGGGAATAGCCCGCGCAGAGGTTCTGCCTATCATCCACTGTGGGAAAGGGGCAAAACGTCACCCGCAGATGCGGTGCCTGCTGCCAGAAATGTCGCGGAAATCAAAGAGGCGAGAAAACATAGAAACATTGGGAGAGCGGAGGTGAAAGGAGCTCGGATTGCGGTCGATTTCCAACTCCAGATGAATTGTTTCGTTTGCTTGGGTCACTCGCCTGACCTTCCCATGAACTTGCGTTTTTCTTCAAACGTGGGGACGGTTGGACTGGCGAGTTCCAAGTCTGATGGTGCGTTCAGCGCTTCGGGGTCGCGCACTGATGATAGACAATAACATCAGTGTGTTGTGCATTTGACTAGATTGTCAATGTTGTCAAATAAATTTGTCTCTTGTGAGGTACTTTGGACCAGCTAGGGAGGTGGCACTGGTGACCGAATAGTTTGGAGTTCTCTGTGCTCGGTTATGGTCACAGAACTGTTGGCGACTCCCTGATGCGCTGGACAACGTGTTGGGCATGTGCAATGCAGCAACCTGACCGTGGATTTACTGGACTCACGGATACGGATTAAAATCCCACACTGCGATGTTGAAATAACGGCCGGAAACATAATTCACGTTGGTGCGACGCCTCATTGGTATCTTGGCGTTCATGAATTGGTTTGAAGCCTGCCATTTTGGCATTTTGTCTGGCAGCACATTAGGGCCCCAGCAACAAGATGTGCTGTTGCATTTATGAGCTGGTACCGCTTGGATGATCGATCTTTGGTATATGAGGATTTCGATATTTGAAGCAACGCTGGCGGCAGTTGCGCAAATTGTTGGGCGATGTGCTTGAGGATTTTATGTATAGAGTTTCTGAATGGAAACCGGTTCTCATCGAAGCAACAATGTGGATATTTAAAGAGCATGATTTGTTTCGGGATTCTCCTGGTTTGATCGAGTAAGGCAAATTGCTTCCTGACAGTAGGGACAAGAGCGTCGAGTTGGCTATGGCCACCACGTGCAACCAACTTGTTGCGCTTCGAATCTCTTTGGTTCAGCCACGCCAGGAGTCCCCTTGACAAGTTGTATTGCATGCCCGTGAGCAGCAGCACGAAGAGATGCTTCAGCTCGCTCGTTTTGAATAGCAGCGCCTTCATTGTGAGCCACAAAGTCTACCATGCAGCTTGGCGGTCTCTACTGAGAGAGCGTAATTGCAGTCCGACGTTTTCTTTGCTGAGTACTGCCCCAACCATCATCTGTGGACCTGGTATTTTGGCTGGTGTCCTAACGAGCCCTGCAGCCTTTTTATGAAAATGTGACACGTGTGTACAATGGCGGCACCTTCAAGGTGCACTCTGCACCCTTGGAAATCGGATGGCTCGTACACACTAAATTAGTTTTGAAGCCAACCCTCGGTTCTGTGTGCACTCTCGTCACGAGCGTGGTAGAAAACTAGGAATGTCGAGCTTGTTCTAAATGACGCATCTTCGCTTTGAATGTGCAGCAACACGCGCAACACATAAAATTCTTTAAATGCACGTTCTTTTGGAGGATTTCCTGAATTCCATTCATTCAGTTGGATTAATGGCTCAAAAGACTAGCTGAAGGGGTCCAGCTGACCTTCAGCCTGCTTGTTACGGAAGCCCTGCTTTGGGAAAGTGTCAAAGGCTCAGTGCTTGTTGCACTTGCTTGCAGCACTTACTCCTGACAGGTTGTTGGCAACTGCGGAACTAGTTGTGGGCGCGTGTGAAGCTGGGGTGGAGGGAGCATTCGTACTTCGCAAGCATGGACCATCAGACCTGCCAAACACAGACACCTATGAACTGCAGTTTGCGGATTCGGAAAAAAGTATATTCGCATACTTTAATGCGCTTGTAAATGGGACCTAAATATGACGATCAAGGCCAGAACTCATGCTAATTCGCATCGCAAATAGCATGGAGATCCAGAGAAGTGCAGCATTTATTTTGTAGCACATGATGAATCCCACATAAACTAATTTAAGACAGATGAGTTCTTTCAAAACTTCTGCGACAACTTGTCCCTTACTTTGGATGGACCAATTTAACAAACTCAACTAACTTGGAACAGTCTTACTTTCTTATGTAATGCAATTACACACAAAATACTGTTGGTTAAAATTACAAAAGTGGCTATTTTTTTTGAAGATTTCAAACATCACCATCCCACGATAACAATGTATTGGTTTCTGCATTCTGATTAATTTAGAAATATTTAGATCATATATTTTTGCACAAGGCTGTGATGCGCATGTTCCGATTCCTTCAAATATGCGTATTGTAACACAACTGCGACAGCACTAGTGAAGTCCATCCCAAAAGATGCCATCAGGTAGATGAAAAACGTTGGACCATAATATGATATTTGGAGATGGTTGAGTGCGGATCCGCAAAATAAATTAAGATCAACCGGGAGAGTGGCCCCAGAGCTCAAAAAGTAACAAAATGGCAGTGAGCGTGTTTCTCTTGAAAGAGGCGCTCAGTGGCCACTGTTTCGCCACAGGCACTGCAACTATGACGTGAGGTGCCCGCGAATATTGCAGAAACCACGCGACGGCCGCATGAATGCGAGCCATGCGTCGCCGGGGGCGCCCGGCATAGCAATCCATCCACGCCACGCAACTCTTATGACTGCAAAATTTGCATCTGTGCGCCATATTTCCGCTCCACACTACACGATTTTCGAAAACGTACCTAATGGCCATTTCGGCGGGGAGAGGCGCGCTCTTCGCTCCACCTCGTGTTGATGCTTTTGGGCGGCAGATTGGCGGCGGTGTTTCCCCTCCACCTCAGGTCACCGTTGCCAGCACCATTTATTGGCGTGTCCCTTGCTGCTCGAAATGCAGCGCAGGTTGCAGCGCGCCAATCTGTCAGTTTGCGCTGGATGGAGTCCTCTCAACGACGTGGGCGGGCTGGACGGCAGGGACTTGCGGTTGGGTCAAAGAGCTGGGCCTGGGTCGGCAAATGTGCGCTTTCCATTAATACCATTAACACGCTTCGGGGGGGAGGGGAGAAATACGGAAGTGCCGGGAGGGACGTCATTAGCTTAGGAGGCGCCTCCAATGGCTCTTGCACACGTCTGGCACAGGTCTGCTGTCGGCATTTGTGTGAATGCTGCATTTGGAAGATCAACCAGCCCACGTGGCTTGCATGGGAGAAGACAATGCGGCCACTTTATTTTCTATTCCACATCTCTGGACATTGCACAATTTGAATCTGAGATTATAGCAGCGAGCCTAACAATTTCTCATAGTTAATCCCTACCTGGCCAAAAGTTTTCCACACGTTTGAATCAGTCCAGTAGGCATTTGCATGTACATGCGCTGCGGTTTCCAATGCCCATGCATTCAGATGTAGTTCAGCTTGTCCACAAGCAGCAACGAGCATGTTTGTTACCCCATATGGCAACCGCGGATGGAGCTGCTGCTGCGTGCAAAGTGCACAATCCCACACGACATGAAACAAACTCAGTAGAATATGCTTTCCTCGTATAATCTTTTGAAAGTATTATGCTTGCGCCTCATGATCATCATGAGGTGCAAGCATAATATTTGTGCGGGGGCGCCCTATTTCTGGAATTTCGGATTGCAAATAATGACACAATGTGCAATCCAAAAATCCAAAGTCCCCAAAATCGCAGGCCCCTGCACTGCGGGGATGGAGCTCGGTGCGTCCACTCAGGAAATACATTCCCGGCCAAACTGCAACTTGTCGATTTTCAGGAGGCTGCAATCCCTTCGTCAAGCATTGCTTGAATCGGAAAACGCTCCATCCAGCACTCTTGGACAGGACAAGCGTCCTAATCAGGCTTATCAAGATGGCGTTCTTCAAATGAATTGGGAGACATATTCTTGATATAAAACGTACAAAATTGACAACAGATATCCTGCCTGGGACGTGGCACCTGGGTTCCCCACATTGTTGGATTGTTTCTAACAAAATCATCACCTGTATGTGGGAACATTTGGATCCGGGCCCATTTTCAGCCGGATTGGATATTTTTGCACTATGGCATGCATCAGGTTGCATGTCCCATGCACAAATGAACTACAGTCACCAGGACCTGCATTGTGCTGAGAGATGCGCCCAACCCGGAAATGTCGGATCATTGGCACAGTATCATACCTTGTAGTAGTCAACTCTTCCAACCTTCCATACATTGTGGCATGGTTTCACGCACAAGTGTGGTTTATACCAATGAACTCTCCTTGTGTTCATCATATGTCACTCAATCAGTCACCATAGATTGGTCACGAGCCAGTCGTTGTGTGATATGGCACAATGACAAATGGCAAATTTAACCAATTCACGTGGTGAGAGGGTAGGGTTCATTCACATGCCAGAGACGGATGACATTGGAATCAGATGCCAGAACTTCCCTCACTGCCTTCAAGGTTGCCTTCAAGGGTTTGATTCGCCATGTGATGGTTGCAGAATTGCAGTCCATGGAAATGGATCCAGGAAACGGGCGCAAACCGTTAGTCATCAGCGACTTTTGGTATCCCACAATGCAAGAAATTGAGAAGTTGAGCTCACGAATCGACCAAACTACGACATCAATGCAATGCTTCTGGCCAGCGCAATCGACCAAACATGGGCGCACGAGACAAATTGCATGATTGTCAATCAAACAAATCAACAAATCACGAAATCTAATGCCATCATCAACATTCCTTTTTATCTCACATGACAAATCAAGGAGGTGGCCTTCAGCTTCCTATTTCGGCCGAGCAAAGAAGTGTCCGCGATCAGTCCATTGCAACCTCATGCAATCTCATGCCGCCAACGCACGACATCTCGCCGACGAGACAGGGTCTCCCGCGACCGGGCAGCGCCGTTCGACTGGGGCCAAAACTCGCACCCTCCCCGCCCTCCCCCGTACATTAACCCCTCGGCAATCACGCATCGCACCCCCAGCGGCTCGCCCCCGCGCCCCTCGGCCAAGTCAGACGAGGCCATCCGCGTCCAGGGCCGTCCCCTTGCCCACTGTCCGGCCAACCCCAGGGCGCTAGCCCTCGCCGCCGACAAATACCGCCCCCGGCCAGCGGCCAAAACCCCAAACACGTCCCACCGGGCGTCCCATTTCAGCGCCGGTCCGCCCCAAGAAATCACCGAGGCACACATTCCCGGCCGTTGGGAGGGGCCCAGTGGGGAGGCCGGAGATCATCCCAGGTTGCCTGGCGCCCGCGGGGCCCCCGGGCGCCGCGCCCACAGTCGATGTCCCTCGTCTATAGCTTCGTGTCCCGCGGCACGACCGTGCTGGCCGAGTACGCCGCCTACGCTGGCGACTTCGCGGCCACGGGACTGGAGTGCCTGCAGAGCGTGGGCGAACCGGGGGCGATGTTCACGGCGATCACGGAGGGCCGCAGCTTCAACTTCCTGTCCAGGGACGGGTACATCTTCCTCGTGGTGGGCGACGAGGGCGCAAGCGCGGAGATGACGGCCGCGTTCCTGGAGCGGGCATCCAACGAGTTTCTCAGCGCCTATGACACGCGGGCGAGGTCGGCGCCGCAGGGGTCACTCACAAAGAGGTTCGCGCACGTCTTGAAGGAGCACATGGAGTACGTGATGGCGCATCCAACCGAGGAGTCCCGCATCCAGGCCGTGCAGCGAAAGGCAGCTGAGGTGCGCGCGAAGATGGCGGAGAACATCGAGGCGGTGATGGCCGGCGGGGAGGCGCTGGAGGCGTCGGAGGATCGGGCTGCGGCGCCGCTGCGTGGCGGGTCGAGATTCGAGGCCGGTGGGCGGATGCTGAGGCGTCACGCGCGGTGTCAAGCGGTGCGCGTGTGGTGCGCGCTGCTGGCGCTGGCGGCCTTGGTGCTGGCAGCGGTGGGCGTGGCGGTGTGCGTCGCCGGGGAGCACTGCGTGGTGTAAGGGGGATGCCGCTCTTTGCCGATCTCTCGTTGAGTTTTGTCGCGAGGCCGCGGGACGGCCCGTCCACCCAGCCCGGGCTCATTCATCCCAGGGGTGGGGGAGTCCAGTGGCCGGGGTGGTTGCTCGTGAGGGAATAAAGTGTCGGAGGGGGAATGGCGGGGTCCCCTCCACGCTGGGAGGCCTGATGAGGGGGAGTTTGTAGGCGACTTGCCCCTAGATAAAGAGGCCGCCGACGGGATGGTGGTTGGCGCTTCGGAGGAGGGGAGGGGGGCGCGACGGGAAGGAGATACAAGGCCATTCGCGCCGGTCGATTCAGCGCAATCCGATCGGCGGATCGGCCGCCGCGTGGGCTGTCGGGTGGCGTGGGCGCCCTGGGTAGGCGCGAGGAGGGTAGGCTAGCTGGGCCGGAGGCGGTGTGTTTCGAGGTGGATGCGGAGGGGTCCGTTGCGCTGAGATAGTGGCGGGTGTTGCCGGCGCTCAGGCGAAGGGCCTACCGGCGGCCGGTTGCGCGAGGGCTGGCCGGCGCCGCTGGACAAGAGCGTCCAAAGAGCGTCCATCGCGGAAAGGAGAGGTTCGACTCGTCAAACGATGACCTTGGCACATTTTTGTGAACGCTTTCGGGGGTGTCATTTTATAGCTCATGCTGCTTCGTCAGGAGTCCATCTCTGCTGTGGGCGTGCGCCGCTGCCCGTCTAGCACGCAGAGGCCGTTCATTCTCCTGCAGGCAAGGGGTGGTGTGTGGTTCAGATGACGTGCGTCTCGAACATTAGCTATCAGTTAATCATTTGAAATGAGGCCGAATGTCCAAACGGGCGTCATGATCTCATCAATGGTTGCTGTGTTCGCCTGCCCATAGGGCGGCAGCCGGACTGGCGATCGTCGAGAAAGGTTGCCAGGCCGTCACGCGCCCCACAGTCGTGGTGATGTGAAGTTTGCGGCAAAATTCGGCAAGGGAATGAGGAAAACAAAAAGCGAAGGTGCGGGGCTGACCAGCCACGGCCACTTGAGCGCAATGGAGCCTTGCATGGGCCCAGCCACTCGTCCACAACCCACAGTGTGTGCACAACACCAGAGACAAGCCGTAGAATTGCCGCAATGTTCCCAGTTTCGTGGTCCATGAAATGTCTACAGACCGCACCAAGCAATGAAAGCCAAATGCAAGCTACGATCGAATGGGACCATTGTCGTTCCACCAACGCCCACAAACCGAGGCTAATACAAAGCCCTGTATACGGTGTGAACTCCACACCCACGTTGCGTTGGCCTCCATTCAGAGAGCTCAGAGGAGATTGGAGCTCGCCCTGCGTGCGCTTCATAAAGAGGACTGCGATTCGTTAAACGTATCCGTTTATTTTGAGCCCCAATAACGGATACCCTTGATTGCGTAGACACATCCAATCAACAACACCCACCGCCAGTCACAGGCGCCCGTTTGTCGCATTTGACTGGTCCATTGTGTTTCCTCAACCAAACTCTTCAGCATTTTTCTACCTCCATCGCTTGTCATGTGTCAATTCGCCCACTGGCTTTGCGCCGATTACCCGTCACTTGGGTCTTTGGCCCTCAATCCTGAAAACCGTTACCGAATCGAATTGCATTCTTTCCTTCTTTTCCCTGAGTCTCAGGGCCTGCGCCTCACTCCCTGCAAATTTGTGCCTTAACGCAGCACTTCTGCTTTTCTTCGCCTTTGCCTGCGTTGCGTCAACGAATCTCTTCTATGTCTCATGCAAGATGGAGGCGGCTTGTATTTGCCCTTCAGGATAGTTACTCTTCAGGACCAAGAGCACTTCCAGCGCAAGGTGCGAGTCTCAGTGTCGACCGCACCATGTTTCAGTGCTGCAATGCATTTCAGTAGCCAGCGACGCAGCATTGTCTGATCAGACGTGTGCCAAGAGGATAAAATAAACGAACGCCGTACTTTAAAATGTTCCTGGATGTACGCACGGCCGCCATCGCCCGCGAGGTGCAAGGGCACCGCTTGCCTTGTTGAAGAGAATCACAGCAGGGCGCTTAGAGCACCAGGAGCACTCACCAGTTGGTCGCAACGTAACAGAAACGCCTAAAGTACTGTATGGCGCATCACATCACCCCTCGGGCTCAGCGCACCGAATCTCATTGTCCCTCTTGCCATAGGTTTTAAAGCCCTTCCGCATCGGAATTTTTACCGTTACGCTTTTTCCTCCGCATTTTGTGTTTTCAGAGCGTTACTTTTATTGTTTTTGCGTTGCTCCGCAATTTTTTTGGTAATACGTTATTGTTTATTGCTTCTTGGCAAATACAGGCCAAGCTTTGTGTTACAATGCGGAAGGGTTTAACAGCCCACGAAAGTCTCTGCACGTCAAATAGCTCGGCGATTCCCGAAACCGCAGAGCCGTCGCTGTGGCCGGCCGGCCCATGCACTGGTAGAAAACGGCATGTTTGCGATGCCAACTGCGATGCCATTTTGACACAAAATGATGCCATCACAGTAATTACGATGGCATAAAAAGTGGCTGTGATGGCATCAATTTGTGTCAAAATGGCATTGCAAGCATACTGTTTTCTACTGGTGATGGCGTTAAATCTGCCTACTGTACTAGGGGCGGGCGTGCCCCAATCCGCCATTGGCCGTCGAGCATCATCCATGTATCGCTCAAACCAGGTCGTTTCTCGCTGAGCATACCAGGCTGGTGCATCGCCTGTGCCCCCAGGGCTGTTTCTGCTACAGAAATTCCGCATGGTCGCCGACGTTTCCCACGTCGTGCTGGTACACACGATCGACCTGATTGCCATGAACGCCCACCCTTGACAGGCTCGCCATCTAGCCAGCCAGCCAACCAGCTAGCTAGGCAGACGGACAGACAGACAGTGCTGAATAGTCGTGATCAACCCATGCACACGCTTGCAGGCAGATCTTTTGTGCTCGACCTGAGGACCAACGCCACATTGGCAAAAGGGCTCCAGAAGTGCGGGGATTTCGTCCCACGCGGATCGCGTGCTTCCTTGGGTACATGTGGCAATATGCACCCCAATGCTGTATGCATCGATTACCCAACCCCTCCTGTAAGCGCCACCTGACCGATTTGCTCTGATGCACGCTGATGATTTATTTGTGCCAGCCAAACAGACCCCTCGACTGCACAACAAAAAGAGTGTGCAGTTCCGTCATGATGCATCCCGGGCTGCAAATCACTAGCGCATGGTTTCAATTGGGCCCACGGAATCGGGGCGGCAGTGGCGGTGTCCAGTGCAGCCCTTGTGCGGTCGCGGGCAATTGAGCATCGAACAAAATGCGCCCATCATGGCAATGCACCCAATACTTGCACCATGAAGTGTGACAGTACCTAGCGACATGGCGGGACCCCCAATGCGTCCCAGGAAGCACCAGGCTTGAAAAGGAAGACCGAATTTTAATGAAATTACGCAATAATACGTGTATTTTGGCAAATTAGCAAATGCGCGTAGTTTTAGATGCATTTTGGGAAAATTTTACCAAATGACACTTAATCTGACCCATTAATGGATGGGAGCTGTGACTTGCATCGCACGGACCAGTAGCCTGCACGTCATGGGGGTGAATGTGACGAGGCGCTGGCGACGAGGCATATGGCCCCAAACGTTGGGCATTTGGAGTTAACACTGCAGCTGCTTCATGTGTGTCATAGCCCAGCGCTGCACGTGCGTGCACTGTGGCATTGTCGCGATAGGTGGCGATGAAAGCCAGTGTTGCCATCCGGTCGGCTTCGCTAGATCTGGTGTTGCTGTGTACCAGGCTTGGTTTTTACGTTTACGTCTGCGTTTTTGCTTTTACGTTTTTACGCGTAAAAACGTAAATTTGCAAAAGCGCCTATTTTTACGGCTATTTTTACGTTTTTGCGGCTCGCTGGGACACCCAGGTTACACGATGAAAGTTGCGTACAATGATCAGTCTTCCGCCATCTCCAGCACCCGCAACACAATGTTCACCTCGCCCTTGGCGAAGGCGATGATGGTGTTCAAGCAAAGCTCGTTTTCTGCCCCTTCCAGGGCGTCTGCCGGCCACTCTCTGGACTCCGGAATTCTGTGTGTACTGTCCTTATGTACATCGCGCAGTTTTTACGTTGTATTTACGTATTTTTACGCATTATTACGCGTAAAAACGAAAAAACTATTTTTACGCGTAAAAACGTAAATACGATCAGTTTTTACGGCGTAAAGACCAAGCCAGCTGTGTACCGTGCAAACGTGCTGGACACTGTGAGCCAGGAGATTATTCGCTTGAAAGATCAAAACCATGAAAGGAAATAGCCCAACGAAATTGCGAAGGCGAGCAGCAGCATTAGTCGGTCTGTCAAGCCCATCCACGGTCGTGCAGTGGAATCCAAAGATCTTTGAATTCTAGAATGGACCAATCGATTGATGATTATTTAGTGGATGATGATGAGAGGGGTGCAGCTCTTGAGTCAAGCACGGTAGAGGGGTCGCTGCCAGCTATACTTGCTCTTGATTCAAGAGTCTTGGAAACAAGGCCGCAGCGGATAATGCGTGGACAGATGCCTGTTATCGTAAAACATCATATGAAATGTGGGGGAGGAACCCTACTTCAAGAGTGCTGTGGAGGCCACAGCGGCATCGATATCTTGGCCACGGACATATTGCAACTGGGTGCAACGTGTTGGGTGGCGCTGATAATGCCTTAGATTTGCACGTGATCAAGCAGAACAATGCAGTGACGATGGGTAAGGCCTTGCGAGTTTGGGTGACCTTCACGAGCGATGGGTAGATGTACTGGATGGGTCCGAGATGGATGGCGACTAGTTAAACTTTGATGTCGTGGAAGTTGCAACTGTGGAAATTTGCCGTATTCTTATAAGAATACTCTCGCTCGAGCGCGATGTGTATATTGTCGAAGAGCTGATGCGCCTGAATCTGCATGATGTGATTTCGTGGGAACAGAATGCACGAAATTCAGGCTCATTGTGGTGTAAAACCTACACATTGCCAGTGGGCTGGAACACCTACATCGGGCTTCGGTGATGCAC